AACCTTTGAAATTTTAACTGCGAGACACTAAAGGTTTTTCGAATGTGAATCTTTGAAATTTTGGATGTGAATTCCTAAGTTTTTTGAATGAAAATCTTTAACTTTTTATTATGAATCTCTAAAATTTTTGAATGAGAATCATTGAATTTTGAATGTGAGTCTTGAAATATTTGATGTGAATTCATGAATTTTTTGAAATGTGACACTTTAAATTTTGGATGTGAATCACCAACAAAAATCGTTTGAATGCAAATATTTGAATCTTGTATAGAATTTAGAGATTTTGGAAGTGGATTCTTAAAAATTACAATTGTGAATATGAAATTCTTATGAATCTAAAAGTTTTACGAATCTTTGAATTCTTGCGAACCTAAAATTCTTGCAAATTTGAAATTTTTATGAATTTGAAAATTCTTGTGAATTTGAAAATTTTTTGCAAATCTTCTATTTTTGCGAATATGAAAATCTTGTGAATTTTTCATTCTTGTAAATCTAAGTTCTTACAAATCTTTCATTTTTACGAATTTGAAAACTTACGAATTTAAAATTCTAATGAACCTGAATTTCTTACGAATATGAAAATTCTTGTGAATTTGAAAGTTTTTATGAAACTAAAATTTTTGCGAATATGAAATTCTTACGAATCTTTAAATTTTTATGAAATTGAATCTCTTGCGAATCTGAAAATTCTTTTCAATCTAAAAGTTCTTACAAAACTAAAATTCTTGCAAATCTGAAATGCTTACAAATCTTTCAATTCATACAAATATTTAAATTATTACGAATTTGAGTTTTTATGAGTTTAAAATTCTTACGAATCTAAAAATCTTACAAAATTTTCATTCTTGTGAATCTGAGTTGTTGTGAATCTTTATGTTTTGCGAATCTTTAAATTTTTATGAATATTTGGATTTCAAGCTAAGAATGTTTTAATTTTTAATTTTTCTTTAACCCGAACAAATTTGATGTCTTTCGATCTTTGTATGATTCTTGTTTCATAGAAAATACATAAAGAGGGGTAGTTGTAGATATCTCATTTTGTCTAAAAATTTTTCAAAAATTTAAATGGGCTTTCGACTATAAATTAAGCGTCTATTGGAAACCTCAGGGCCAAAAGGATAAAAGGCCACAATTTTAATGTTTATTTAAATTTTGATTTTTGGATTTTTGTTTTAATTGTGATTTTATTTTTAATGTTGGTCAAAGTTGGAGTCCAAGTCAAAGGTTAAAAAAGTAAAAAAAAAAGCCAAAGTAAAAAAAAAAAATGTTAGAAAGCAACAAAAAAAATGGAAAGTTTGAACAAAAGAAAAACGGGTGAAGATCTTGGATTTGGGAATTAATGATTCGATGATTTTGGGAAAATTTTGAAGCTTAATCACATAATTAATTAATAGAAAAATAAAAACAAGTTAAATCACAGAGAAATAAAAATCCATTTGAATTGATGGATTTTTCAAATTAAAAAGGATTCAATCTCTATAATGACCCAATTAGCAACACACAAAAAGACATGTAGAAACTATACAAGGGGAATCAAGCAAGAAAACTAAAAGCAATTAGCAAGAAGAGCTATTTAAAAATTCTCTAGGTTTGTTCTTGGTTCTTAGGAATATGGTTTAAGAATTTTTGGGATTGAGTTCAAAATTTTGACTCTGGGTTCTTTTGAATTAGGTGTTGGTCTTTGAAGTCTTTTGAAGTTTTTGGAATTTTGTCCTAGGATTCTAATTTGATTTTGTTTTTAGAAATTTTAAATTTATGGGCTTGGGGAATTTGCTGGGCAATTAGTTTGAATTTCTAGGTTTGTATTCAAGTTTTTGAGTTTTTGGGTATTTTTGAATTTGCTTAGAGTTTTGTTTTTAGGTTTTAATTGTTTATGGGTTTTAATTAATTATAGGGATTGTTAAAGTTTTAGATTTTAGAAATTTTTGGATTTTTGGGTTTGTATTTTTTTCTCTAAAATATTTTTGGATTTTTTTAGAAAATAGTTAAATTTTTTGGTAGCATTAGAAGTTTCCAATGAGATTTCAGCAAAAACTTCAAATTCCAACGTGATTTTTAGAATTTGGTGGTCGGTGTTCTTCTACTATAAAGAGAGGAAATAGAGAAAAAAGTATAGAAAGAGAGTGACCAAAAGGATTCTAGGCAAATTGAAAATTTTTAAGCTTTATACTTATTACTAAACAATGTTGTTTTGGTAAAAGGGTGTTCAAGATCTGCATGTTTTCCCATATTTGGATTTGACACATGTATAACCCTAGTCGCACTGGTTTTTCAATAGCCATTTTTTAAGCCAAGCTGAGCTAAGTTTCAAGCCACTCTAGCCAGTTTTCCTATCTACAGCAGAGCCAAGTCGCATAAAATCCTTTGATTTTTTTTTAATTTTTAATTGATTTTTTTCAGAATAAAAAATATTTTTTAAATAAATTCATGAGTTTTACTAAATTATTGGAAGATTTTTCATGGATTTTAAATTTTTTTTTATAAATTATATCAAACTATTGGAGAATTTTATAACCTAAATTTTTGTGAAAAAAATAATTTTTATAAAATCCTACAAATATATTGAAGGATAATCTTTAACAAACAAATCTTACCAATATATTAGAAGATATTTTTGAAGATAAATTATTTTTATAAAAAATGGATTGTAAATCCTCGATAATGAAAAAGTAAGAGCATTGCAAATAGCAATCTCTATGTAAATTTTTAGGTGAGAAAATCTTTTCTAAACTTTAGCAATATATTATAAGAATTTTCGATATCAAAGTTCTAAATCTCACAATCATAAAAATATTTTTACAAAAAATTAAATAAATTCGACTACAAAGTCTCTTCAAAGTAAGACATTAATTTTTATAGATACTCATTATGTGATGAAATTATCTTAAACTACCACCAAACTATTATAGTAATTTTAAGATCAATTTCTAATAATTAAGCTATTTGATAAATTATAAATATATTTTAAAGTTTGAATAACTTGAAATCAAATTGGTATTATCTTTTGGATAGATACTGTGAGAATGTTATAACATTTCACACGTGTAACTGCATTCTTAAATCTAAATAAAATTTTATAAACTAAATCTACAATTTAAAGATATCTAAGTTAAAATTGATTTTTTAAAAAAAATTAAATAAATTCAATTAAGTGATTAATCACACTTAAACAAAAAAAATTAGTGATGATTTTTTAAATTTATATATAGTAATAAGTCTATAAATTTATATATTATAACACATATCATGTTAAAAATATTTAAATTTATTATGGATGACATATACACTATGAATATAGTTTGCCGAGGCTATTAAAATTTGAATAGAAGTTAATTTATTTTTTATTCATAAAAAGTATGGATGTGAAAATTTTTTTGAGCCGATGAAAAATCTTTTGGTTATTGGAGATCTGTGCAGTGCAGTGCAGTGCAGGACTTCTACGAGATGATATGATTATCGCAAAAAAAATCGTTTGATACTATTATTTGAACGATTTTATCCACTACTATGAATTAAAAAAAAAAAAAAAAGAGGCTTTTACACTTATACACTGCGGGGAAATGCTAGGGGCAGCCACAGCCGCCATTGCCATTCAACCCTCGATTATAAAAGAAGTCGCCGTCTCTTCATCTTTTAAACTCAAAACCGATAACTTATTACAAGTTATGTACTGCCCTTTATAATTGACAGTAAAATTGACTTACATTGATTTAGAAAGACGAGGACAAAACATTTTCATGTCTTTTCAATTTTGTGGTCTCATCCAATCTCCAACAATATTTGTTCCGAAAACATAAATGACTTTGATTTTGATTGTATTGCTGATGGAAAGAGCATGAAGTTAGGCTAAACTCACGAAAAATACAATAATAATAGTATTTTTTCCTTTAATTTTACTTCTACAATTCTATTTATATTTTATATTTTACTTAATTATAAATTTTTATCTCTTTTTATGTATTTGCAATACATTTGCATTTGTGCAAGGCACAAAATTTAAAAATAAATAATTTTAAAATATTATTATGTATCTACTTGTAATGTTATAGCGTTTTAAAATTTATATCATTCAAAATAGTGCTACCTTAATGCTATCACAATTTTTTTTTCCTCCATTGTGATTGAATTATCATTGACAACCTAACTAAATAACAAGTGTAAAATGTAATCATAGTTTTAAAAGCAAGAAAAAAATAATAACAAGATCATATTTTGATTGAAATTCATTCTAAATTATAATACCCTTTCTATTCAATCATTTGTCATAGTATTTACTTATAAAAATTAGTTAAAAAAACTATTATTATTAAAATCTTTTACTAAATTTAGTGTCATGAGTAAAATTATATTAACTTTATTGAGAAAATTATCAACAAATTTAAAAAATATTTAAATAAATATGAAATTTGGACAGTAATTTTTTTATATTTTATTCACAAAATTACAAAATTACTCATTTTTACATAAAAAAACTTATTTAACTTATCTTTTTAATTTATAAAAAAATTTAGAGGTGTGTCAAATTTTAATTCTTTTATTACAAGCAATTTTTTAGTGCAATAAAACAACATACATTTTTGGATTACATAAAATTAATTATTATGAATAATATAATTTAAGAGTATAATGATTGTCTAGTTTTTTTTTTTTTCATTTTTTATAACAAATTTGCTTGAATACTTTAACCATAGAATTAAATTTAAAATTTATTTTGAGTAAAAAAAAAGCAATTGAAACATACTGAAAATTTAAAAAAGATTAAAATTAATTAAATAAAACTGATCACAAGAAAAAAATATAGCGTATATATATTTTGTTTAATTCAAAACTATCTCAAAAACAATGACGTTGATATATTTTGGGAACACTCGAAATACATTTTAGTCTTTAGATAACTTTTTAGATGTGACTTGAAAATTGGAACTACGAAAAAAAAAAAAAAAGAGAAAAAAGACAGAGATGACTTGAATAATCGGTAGCCGGTTTTTAGTTGAAAAATGTGGGAACGTGGCTTCATGTACGAGGGAGTGTTAGGGGGCGGTGACAACAACGGCTGCCCCTAGAAGTTCCTGTATACTGCGTAGTTAAGAGTTTTAGGGTTAAAATGCAAAAGAAAAAATAAATGGAAGAAAAATGAAAATAAAAGCGGGCGAACCCTACAGCAAAAAGAAGCGCGTTTCGAAAACAGGGTTGGCGCCATCACACTCATAAAAAATTCGCAGTGAGGTGTAAACCCTCTGACTCTCCTCGGCCGTAGCTAGCGGTGGAGATTGAACGACTGTAACAAGATAAAATAACCCAAAACTCAACGACAATGGCGGAAGTAATTTCATTGATGGACATCGATGAAGACGACAATCACCAGAAACAAAACCACTCTCATAAGCAAAACAAGGGCAAAAGCGACGTCGCAGCCACCGATGCCAAAGCCACTCCCTGGGTCGAGAAGTACCGCCCTCAGTCCCTAGCCGACGTCGCTGCTCACCGCGACATTGTTGACACCAGTAATTCCTTCCTCTCCCCCTCTAGGGTTTTTGTAATATGTTCCCCCTTAATTTGCTTGTCTTTTTTTTTTTTTTTCAGTTTCAATTTAATCATAGGTGTGAAAAAGAAAGGAATTTCAGGAAATGGAGGAACAAATTATTCGAGATTTCAAACATTTCGTAGTTATTCTCTTTCATTTTCCTTTTTAATTGTAAATTAGTAATTTTTAGGTTAATCAAAGCAGTCTGCCAGGTTACTAAATTTAAAGAAATTGCATCCGCAATGTCTTATAACAAATTATTTACTCGTTTTTTTTTTTCTTTTTTTGGTGTAAATTAGTTGATAGGCTTACGAGCGAGAACCGATTGCCGCATCTTCTGTTGTATGGTCCTCCCGGAACAGGCAAAACTTCCACTATACTGGCAGTGGCACGGAAGCTTTACGGAGCACAGTATCATAATATGATTCTGGAGCTGAATGCTTCAGATGATAGAGGAATTGATGTTGTTAGGCAACAGATTCAAGATTTTGCTAGCACTCAAAGCTTCTCATTTGGGTAAATTATTTTTTTTTTGGTGCTCAATTAATTTACTTCGTTACTGCTTATAGTGAATTAGTTTTACAACTGCCATCTGCCCTTAGATATGGCACTGCATAAATTGCTTGCAGTTGTTGATTCAATCCAGCTGTTATCTTGCATTCCTGCGATATTCTTTTGGGCGTTTGCGACTACTTTTTTCATGATTGTCTCTGTGCTTTGATTTTAATATAGAATCTTAGAATGATTTGAATGTGTTCCAAAGAGAGGGAGTGTGATTCTTCAAAGTGTGTTCTGGATAATGGTATGGCATTTAACAGTCATTTATATCTTTATGACTGTCTGTGTTTGCTATCTGAACTTTATCATCTTCAGACTTGAATAAATGCTTTGCAAAGGTAACTTATTGATGTTTGACATGGAGGTTTTCACAGTGCGAAGTCATCAGTGAAGTTGATTTTACTTGATGAGGCAGATGCGATGACAAAGGATGCACAATTTGCCCTGCGTAGAGGTATAAATTATTCCTGACCAACTAATCTCATGGACAAGTTATTTTACCTTCTTAATGCCTATATTTTCATTGATTGTCTGCAGTTATTGAGAAATACACAAAGAATGCTAGGTTTGCGCTGATCTGCAATCATGTCAACAAGATCATTCCGGCACTACAGTCCAGATGTACCCGGTTCCGATTTGCACCTCTTGATCCTATTCACGTCTCTGAGCGACTTAAACATGTTATAGAAGCTGAAGGGCAAGTTTTTTGTTTGTTTTTCTCATTCATTTATTTGGTTTCCAACATTGGGTTGGAGTGGATCAGCGAAATGTTTCTAATCTAAGTGTTTTTCTATGTGGTTAAGGGGGTGGGAGTGAATTTCTATAGTGGTGATAATCATCTAAAAAATCCATAATATAGGAACTAACTAGAATGAAAGGTGACTGTTGCTTATAGTTTTTACCTATAATGCTTTTTTTTTATCAGAAAATTTTGATTTGCATGGATAATTGTTATTTGGTTCTAGGGCTGCAGATGAGCTGAGTTGCCTACGAGCTGCAGGAATTTGGCTTTTTCCCCCTAAATAACCCAGTTTGAGCCTGGATCAATTCCCATTTGATAAATGAATCCAACACTAACCTTATCAACTCTGTTGATTTGTCAGCCTACAAGTAGATTGTCTTCCTGCTTTTTTTTTAGTTGCAAACTGATCATATTCTAAAGCTTTCAATTTTTTTTTTTTGCTCCAAATCGAGCTAGAACTTTTGATTTGCAAATTTGCCTGCATGAGCTGCAGGAGTTTGGCTCAGCTTGGCTTGAGCTTTTTTTTTCTTCCTAAATAACCCAGTTTGAGTCTGGAGTGTACGTTTTCAGGTTTGGCTCAAGCATGCATAAATATGTAACCATTGTATGCTGAATGTTTTAAAGCCTAGCTTGGCTCAAATCAGTTCCAACCTTGTCTTAGAATCGTAAAAAGTAAAAAATTAATGCCTTAGTAGTTGTCATTTGGGTTTTCCTTTTGTTTTTTGGACCACATCTTTGAATCTTACACCAGAATACTGTTAACATTTGTGCCTTATTGGATCAGGCTTGATGCACCTGATAGTGGCTTGGCGGCACTTGTACGGCTTAGCAATGGTGACATGAGAAAGGCTTTAAACATTTTGCAGGTTTTTAGACCTCCTACTCTTGTATTGCTTTTTGCATCCATTGGTGTATGATAATAGTAATTGTTTTAGAAATGTAAGTCAGTAAAACAACAGGTTGGTATCGATCTGTTCTTTGCTTTGTTACAGAAGTTGTATTACTTGATTATATGATCTTTCATTGTTCTTAGGTGGTGTAGCCTTGTCTAAGTTATGCTTGATGTGTCAAGTTATGTGTTTGTGTTTTGAGGTGATGTCAATACTGATGTTAATGAATAAAATGTACTTTTTTTTTTTTTAATTTTTGATTGGGGAAGGGGATTTAAACCAAGCTCTTGAGCAAGGGGATACATCCACTTATTATCGAACCAAATGCTCTTGAGCAAGAATAGGATGTACTTTATTATCCTTGTTGAGGGGGATTTCGGAGATTAAGATGCCTATTATTTCTGGTGTTGTTAGCGTTATTCATGAATGTGCAACAAGAGTTGCTTTGTTAATAATTTTTTTTGCTGTATGCAGTCAACACACATGGCTTCTCAGCAGATTACAGAAGAAGCTGTGTATCTCTGTACTGGAAATCCATTGCCTAAAGACATTGAGCAAATATCTTACTGGCTTCTGAATGAATCATTTATGGAGAGTTTCACACGTACTCATCTCAATTTCTCGGTTTGTTATAGAATTATTACAATTCTAGTCTGTAGATTTCCTTTTTATTCTTTAAAAAACCATTTTTTATTTTGTGATTAACTCTCTGTAGGAATATCTGAAATGAAGACAAGGAAAGGATTGGCCTTGATCGATATTGTAAGGGAAGTGACAATGTAAGTGCCATGTCTGTTTTAACTTTTAAATGGCTGCTCTCGGAATTTTTACCGGTTGATAATTATGCATTACTCCTTTTTAACAGGTTTGTTTTTAAGATTAAAATGCCCTCAGATGTTCGAGTTCAGTTAATTAACGACTTGGCTGACATAGAGTAAGTACTTATCCGCTCTCTCTCTCTCTCTCTCTCTCACACACACACACACACACTCACACACACATTAATAATTGGTAAATGGTTGATGCTTTAAGTGATAAAATAAAACAAAGATATTGAGATGTAAATACATGAATGTATCAGAGAAACCTTATAAAAGAAGAAAGAAAAAAAAATGAAGACAAGACTATTTGGTGCAATCAGCACTATATTTTTAGCATTTACTTAATATATAGCATAGGACTATTCTTTCTAAGTCTTATGAATTGCTTTATTTGGGCTTTCAATTACAGTATGCTTAACCAAATGAGAATTTTGTTTTAGAGCTATTATCATTATTATTATTGATGTTGTTGTTGTTGGCCACCACATTTTAGATCTCCCATTTCCTTTACTCAAAACCATTTGTTGTCTGTTGGAAGTTTGGTTTTTTTGGTGGCCAAGTTGAATGTTTTAATTGGGGCCAAAGTATTGAAAGAACTTTGCTTGCCAACATAAATACAAAAATAATACTCCGGTAATTAGATAATAGATTGAAGAATAATTGACTAGTAGATAGTTCAGGAATCCTGAAAGAAATTATATTTCTGTGTGGATATTCATATTTGCAAACGGATGTAATTCAGTAAATTCTAGTTCTCTCCAACCTAGCTGTCATTGTAAATATAGAGTGTGGATTGTGGGTGGTATCAGGTAGTAGCTAATGGCATCCGTTGGTATGTTTACCATTTGCAGGTATCGAATGAGTTTTGGGTGCAATGATAAATTACAGCTGGGATCACTCATTGCTACTTTCACACGAGCTAGATCTGCACTTGTTGCGGCGGCGGCAAAGTAGCTGTTTGTTGAGGCTTGGTATTTCTGCGGGGTACCAGCATGTTCTTTTTGTATGATTTTGGCCTGACAAATACCAAACGTTTGGGTTTTTGGTATAATCAAATATAGTAAGTATTAGATAATAGTTGGCACTTGGCAAAATGCCTTCTCCCACATGTTCATGATGTGATCCTATTAAAGAATACAAATAGCCAATGACTTTTGGAAAGTACAAAGCATCATTATTCATTAGTTATCATATGCAAGGTTTTAGGCTTGCTAATTATGCATCTGGTCAAAGAATGGAAGAGTGGATGGATAGAATAGAAGGCTTATTCCCTTAACTGCACTTCTGAAACAAGTAATGATTGGACAGAAAATGAAAGCAAGAAAAAAAAGGTAAAGTATCCTTGAAAAGCAAGAGATAGGATCAGTGAGACCCAAACAGTGGATTATTTGTAGGCGGCAAGATAAAACAAATATAAGCACAAAATACAGCCACTTCATAAGGCAACACTTGGGGCTTTGTTTGAAAAGAAGGATGAAAAGAGGTGACGATAGAAAGGTTATTAATCTAATAGTTAAAATTCATAATTACTTTTTTACTTTTAGTTTAACCATTAGATTAATCAATTTTCTATCTTTACCCATTTTCATACTTTTGACTGAGCAAAGCCTTGGTGCCAAAAAAAAAAGGCCCAATTTCATCACATTTTTGCAATGTCATTTTCCTCTAACATGACTTACTTCCTAGTCCCTTAAGACTGATCTGTACAAAAACTTCTAAACAGCTTTTACAATCCCTACACTTAGGGGACCTCTCTGATTCTCTTTCATCTCCTCAAATTAATAAACATTTTATACTTTACATCTTAAGCATTAACTACAAAACTGGACCTTCGATGGATTGATATATAATACTTACACAAGCAAACCCAAACTCCTCCCTCTATCTGATAATATTAATAATTATCTGTCTCCTGTAAATTTCTGCACCTGATTTCGTTGTGGTTGCTTGTAAAGACATCATCTTTATATGCTATCATCATTTGACATCCCGTTGGACCAGATGATCTCAATTTCAAGCGTTCTGGAAGACCCGTCTTTGTTGCTATCATGATTCAGGCTGAATAAACCACTGTATACTCCCTCGGTCACGACTTTGTCGATTTGAATAGTCACTCTTCCTAGAGTTGTCTGAAAAAGCCAGCATCTCGATCAGAAATCAGAAAGTAATACCTTTCATGAGAGAGATATGAAATATAACTATTAGCACTTTTGTCACCACAAAAAGAAAATTGTTCATCTAAGCATCAAGTAGCTCTTCATTGAGGATTGCAACAACTGAACCATAAAATCCAGCATATCATTGGAAATCTCATTTACCTTCCCAAAAGTATTTTTGCTTTTGCAGATGATATGAAGTTTTTGTCCTTTTGGGGGCACATCAAAAGCCCATGTAAAGCCTTCCTTCCACTCTGGAGAAGTACTGTGGCTCACAACCTAATTATAGTACAAAACCACTTGTGTTAAAGTGTGGCCATTGATAGTAATAAAATAATATATAATCAGCAAGGGTACAATTATATACCCTTTATTTTTCCATCACATAAGAAGTGTCTGATATAGAATTAGAATCATGGTGCAGGTCAGAAAATTTTGCAAATAGAATGAAATTCTAGACTTGTTAACAAATTCTTCATCAGCATAAATGTTTTAAAAAATATTGTGATCAATAAATGAAATGCTAAGCACTGATTTTCTTGTTAAATCTATACCTGCAGACTTCAATTTTTTTGAACAAAGAGAAACTAGAAAATCCCAACAAGGTGATGAAGTCATGCATGCCATAAATGCCCTATAATGTGGCAAACCCAAGAGCCATTGAATAAAATACGAAATGATAATATTCCAAAACCAATATTTTCTATACACTGGCATATGGCAATTAATGCAAAATGCATCACCATAACTAAATTAGAAAAGAAAAGGACTAAGGCATGGAAAATTTCCAAGATTAAAGAACAAGAGCATTTCACATGGCCATAGACCAATCTATGGGTAGGATATAAATAGTTTATTTTCCAATGACTTGTAAATAGAACTCTTACCTTGGTTTGCCGGGGAGGACCATTGCCTATTGTCAATCGGCAAAACGCATTTGTGGCTCCCATGGCTTGCTTTAGGTTGTTACCACGCTTGATGGTAACAGTCAAACACCCTGGTAAGCAGTGCAATAGGCTGTCTGCTCTCTCATGGAAATTTGGAGGACAGGTTTTCATCAGCATTTGCAAAATAGGAATTGCTTCAGCTGCGATCATAGACTGAGATTTTGCAATTTCAATTGGCATGGTTGACCAAGAATCTTTAAACAAGCAGAGGGTGTCCAATACAGATTCCTGGGCACCCTCACTCCCAGACTTTAGTGCTCCTACGAGATGGGGAATACACAGGGTAGCTGCTTCAGAAATATGAAGCTTAGGAAAGTTGGCGAATATCACATTTAATGTTTTCAAGACTTCTTCATTAATAGTTGCAGCAGACCACAATTCTCTCTCTAAGGCAGCTGCACAACAGTGATCATGCATTTCCATATTAATGTTGAGAACCAAAAGACAGGGAGAGGGAGAGACAATAACTTGTACAAAGAGAAAAGTAAAAACTTAAGCTAGATATTGCTTGTTGGCCAGAAGTTCTTGAAGTGTAAAATGCTAGTCATATATCACGTGGACAAAACTTCAGACAAAAATGAAGCGAGCTTAGTTTCAAGCAAATATTTGGAATGTTCCTCGTTTTACTTTCTCTTAATAACATTAATTTCAACTAGCAGAAGAAAAGATTTAATGATGCATCTAGAAACTTTGAATTGAAACCAAAAAATTATAAAAACAAAAATCCGTTGCAATGTTATATCACCTGTCAAAGATCTGATGAGCTCATTTGATACATATTCTTGAAGTGTGTGATTAGAAAATAAGAATTTGATCAGCAGTGCTGCCTGCGCAGCAACTTCTGCATTAGGAGAAAGCAAAAGCTCCTGAATTACTAATATGCCACCTGCTTCAGCAACAGCTCGCCTATTAGTTCTACTCCGCACGACAAAGTTCTGCAATGCACAAATAGCAACCATTTTCATGTCTTCTGTTGACTGATCCTCAAGCAAGCTTACGAGCGCACGACATGCAGAAACAGAATCACTGGCTCTAGCATGTCCTTCGTGCTGGGATAGGTCTCCAAGAGCTAAAGTTGCAAGAAGCCTGCCAGACTCTGATCTTGTCTGTGGGTCTAACAGATACTGTGCTAAGGGTGCAATGGCGTACTTAGAAACCTTCATCTCTCGTACCCTTACATTGTTAAATAAAGCTTCAAGCAGTGTTCCAGAAGCTTCTTCACACCGGTGACATCTTAGTAGATCCAACAATGCATCTATAGCTCCAGCTTCTGTCATCTGTTCAACACTTGAAGGATCACTCCTTTCATGGACAATTAAGGCATTAAGAGCCACAGTAATGGTGCTCTCCAGTGTGGAGTGCAACATTTTGACCAGAACTATTAAAGGAACTTTAAAATAGTACTCAGCATTGAAACGCAGAACATTAGAGAGAACCAAAGCAGCTGATTCCCAGAGAGCATGAGGAGGCTGAGGATCATCTTGAATGATGACCTTTGCAAGCTCAAAAATACCTCCAGCATCAGCAACTGCCTTTGGCCAACTTGCAGAGATCTTTTCCAAAGCTTTAATTGCTGTTTGCTGCAGATTCAATATTCCAATTCCTGCAAGCTGCACCAGTGGCACAACTGCACTTTTTGTTGTGATGTCTTGTTGAAAATGTTCCTGTGCAAGAAGATGAGTCAATAATTCTGTTCCAAGCTGCTGGATAGCTTGCGATGGTGATTCCAGAAATGAAATCAGAGGCTCAATGACTTGACTGGGAGTCAATTTCAGGGTAGCAAGGCTTTGTGGCTTCTCCAAGATATTTACAAGTGCTTGCAAGGCACTGTGTTGTCCCCACAAACTGAAATCTGGACGAAGTAAAACCATGAAAAGAGGCTCTACTATTTTTGCAGCATCTGAACTTCTAGCAATTGCATTACTATTTGTCAAAATACGGAATAACTCTGCAATTGAGGAGCACAATGAACCGGATGCAAGAGGCAGTACCTCAAGACAATTATCAATAACGCCAGCCTTGACCATGTCTAATTTGCGTGGCGTGCGGTCTTTACCCAACTTTATGAGTGCACATATGCTGGCCTCAATAAGCTGATGGTTTCTCCCAGAAATCAAGCCAACGAGGAGATCCACGATGTCATATGCTGCTGCAAGCTCCACCTGCTGCTCATCATCTAACAATCTCTCAAAAGCACAGACTCCAGACTCCACAGCTGTACTAGTATCAGACTGCATAAGAGAAATAAGGGGCTGTATGCATTCGGAAGCTATAGGATTTGCTCTAAATTTAGTATTTCCGAAGAGAACAAAACAAAGTTGGGCAGCATTTCTTTTCAATTCCAAAGATGAAGCAGAAGATAAGATTTTGTGTAGACTATCAAGTGGGTTTCCTACCACATCAGTCATTATAGTTGCTTTTGAAGTATTTCCTGAAGTTAATTTGATCAAGGCAACAAGGGCAGCCTCTTGCTCACTCTCTGATGCAGCACAAAGCATGTCAACCAGAGGTTGTAAAGCCTGCTTGGCTAGTTCAGAATGTCTAACATTTTCAGCATAAAAAATTTGATTGAGAGCCCTTGCAGCACTGAATCTAGCATTCTTTGAACCCAGGCGCAAAACAGCTATAAGTTGATTCAAGGAGCTAAGTGACACTTCGTATCGAATAAGATCCTGATTGCCAAATAATATTCTGAGTAATTCACATATATCAGCCTCTGTTGAGTCTTGAGGGCTCAAAGACAAATACTTTGTTAAAGCATCAAGAGCTCCAGCTTCACCCATGATTAATTTATTGTTATCACTTCCATCTGCAATGCGTGTTAAGAGTTGAACAGCAATTGGAGGGGCTCCAGGCCTATCAGGTATTGGTCTCAGGAGATCCACTAAAAGTGGGATAGATTTCCGAGCAGTAGAGCCAACTCTCACATCTTCAATTTCAAAAAGATGTTCTAGAACAACTTGACCAGGATTCTGTACCAGAGAAAATTCTTCAGTCAAAGTAACTAAATTGGGCATATCTGATTCCATGTAGCCAATCAATGTTATCAACCCAGCAA